ACACACAGGGACCCCCTGGCGCTGACCCCCCCCTCCCCATCCTGTACCCCAGGGCGACTCGGGGGGTCCCCTGAACTGCCAGGCAGCCGACGGGCACTGGGAGGTGCACGGCATTGCCAGCTTCGTCTCAGGGCTGGGCTGCAACGCGCCCAAGAAGCCAACAGTTTTCACCCGTGTCTCCGCCTTCGAGGACTGGATCGCTGAGGTGGGGGACGGGGTGCTGGGGTGCTGGGCAAATGGGATGCCACGATGTCAGGGTGCCAGGGTGCTGGGGCACCAGGGTACCAGGGTGCTGGGATACCATGATGCCAGGGCACCAGGGTGTCATGGTGCTGGGGTACCAGAGTGCCAGGGTGCCATAGTGCTGGGGTGCGGGGGTGCCAGGGCACCAGGACTCTGGGGTGCCAGAGTGCCAGGGTGCCATGGGGCCAGGGTGCCAAAGGACTGGGGTGCTGGGCTGCCAGGGTGTTGGGGTGCTGGGGAGACGGGGAAATGGGATGCCACAATGTCAGGGTGCCAGGGTGCTGGGGCACCAGGGTACCAGGATACCATGATGCCAGGGCACAAGGGTGCCAGTGGACTAGGGTGTCAGGGTGTTGGGTGCCAAGGTGCTGGGGTGCCAGGGGACTGGGGTGCTGGGGTCCCATGGTGCCAGGACACTGGGGTGCCAGGGTGCTGGGGTGGCATGGTGCTGGTGTGCCAAGGGACTGGGGTGCTGGGCTGCCAGGGTGCCAGGACTCTGGTGTGCTGGGGTGCCAGGGCACTGGGGAGCTTGGGTGCCATGGTGCTAGGGTGCTGGTGTTCCAGGGTGCCGGTGTGCCAGGGTACCAGGGTGCCAAGGGGCCAGGCTGCTGGGGTGCTGTAGTGCCAGGGGGTCGAAGAGCCATGGCGCCGGGGCACTGGTGGACCAGGGTGCTTGGGGTGCCACGGTGTCAGGATGCTGGGGTGCTGGGGTGCCAGGGTGCTGGGGTTCTGGGTGCTGGGGTGCCGGGGTGCCAGGGTGCCACACTCCCCTCCTGAGCAGCTTCTCCATTCCAGATCATGAGCCAGAACTGAGCATGGCAGCGACAGCAGCGGTGGTGGCGACCTCCTGGTGTGGCATCGGGCAAATAAACCCACAGCTCTGGCACCGCTCGTGTCCCTGTGTTGGGGCGTGGGTGCGGCATGAGGGGGTGGCCCGGTTGCCGGCAGAGTGGGCGCGGGGAGCACCCAGGGGTGCTCAGATACCATGAGGATGGGCACCCAGTGACACGCAGACGCCAAGGGGAGGGGCACCCAGTGACACCCCAGTGTCACGGGGATGGTTTGCCCTGAGGAGCTATGATGCCACAGGGATGGGCACCCAAAGACCCCCCAGGTGGGGGCGGGACAAGCACCCTGAGGTGCCCTGCAGCCATGAAGATGGGCGCCGTGGGGCACCGTGATGCCAAAAGCACAGGCACCCCAAGGCACCGATGACACCACAGGGATGGGCCCCTGGGGATGTCCTGGCACCGCTGGGCTGGGCCCCCGGAGGCGCCCCGAGGCCCCAGGGATGGCCC